CTCTGCTCATCAGTTTGTGTGTGGCTACGTATGAAATGCTTACAAGTAACTTTACATCCAGTGGAAAAAAGAAATTGTTGGTACGTTCTCAATTGAAGTTCTTACTTAAAGAAGTAAGAATTGCCATGAAGTAAGAACTGCAGCAAAGGTTGGTTGGTGTACTAGGTGTGAAAAATGTTCAGATTAGTTATCTGCTGACTGTCCTCACCTGGTTCAAACAGTCCTGATTTTGCTGTCTCTTCCTAGCCAATTTCTTGGGATTTGAGGAGTTTTAGTTTTTGGCTTTTATTCTGGTTGTTTGGGGGGGAGGAGGGGGAAGAGGTTCATTGGTTTGGGGTCTTTTCTCTTGTTCAGTTAATTCAAGTGATCACTGCTGCCCTGGGACCAAATGTGAAAGGAATGTGGGACTGAGCTATAAGAAGGAGCACCTTGCTGCAGGAAGGGGAAAGCAGCAGCAAGCAGGAGGAGGCTGCTGAGTAGGTGTTGGAAGGAATAACCACAGGAACAATACCAGGAAACCAGCAGGGAGTTGGGGGAAACCCATTATGACTTGTTGAAGTGAAAGAAGAGGTGGAAGTTGATTGCACAGGACCATTTTTAGACACAGAGGTGGCACATCTCACTTGATCCATTCACACACAGGATTCTACCCTTCCCCCTTAATAAATCAGTTATATTGGTGCTGCTGATGTTATGTGCATTTTGGGGGGGTTTGGTAGTGGTTGAAGCAGGTTTCTCTCAGTCATGCTCATGAGTGGATCCAAATTCCACCCATCTTCCCAAAAATACGAGACTTGCCTTTAGCAGGATTTCTGATGTGCTAAAAATAGGAAGAATTTAATTTTTTTTTCTGTTCCAGTGTTACAAAGATGCTGCAAAAAGATGAAAAAATGAAAACAATAGTTTCAGCTTAAACATGCCCCTTGCCATAAAAAACTAGCATCAGCTTTTGGGTCACTGCTGTACAAATGGTATACAGATTAAATAGAGTTGGAAAATGTGCTCCAGTAAGCTCATTTGTATAGTTTGAGTTAAAGGCTTTAAATCAAATGTTATGTATGTCTTAAATCAGTAAAACCTCAAAAAAATAATTAGGTGGAATACAGAGAGAGGCACACAGATTCAGATTTTAGGACAGTTTCATTAAGCAGCTTTTGTGACTGTAGTACATGCTAGGACTGCAGAAAACAAGAGGAAGGGAGTGTGAGTATATTTCTCTCAGTGCAAAGTAGGTTATTTGTGGCATAACATTGCTCTCACCTGTATAAATATTATTCTTAGCCTCTTGTCTCAAGTGTGAAATTAAACCTCAGTGCAGTAATGTGCAGAGCTCTGAGTGCCAAGTCAGTGTTGTTTCAGTATTCTTTCTGGTAATGATATACTAATTGGTCTAAATATAAAGGTAGAAAAAAATTGAGATTTATGTTCAAGAAACGTTTTTGTAGCAAGAGAAAAGGAAGTGTAATGTTACTTGTTATCTTGCTGTTTATTTTGCTCTTTCTAGATTGGCCAGTCTGAAGTTTACCTTATCAGTCCTGACACAAAAAAAGTAGCAATTGAAAAAAGCTTTAAAGAAATATCCTTTTGTTCTCAGGTAAGATTGCAGTGTATTCTTTCTCTTTATTTTGGGGTTTTTTTTTTTGTTTAAATGTTTTCTACATGGTTGTGCTCCTCAGAGCAGTAGGAGTGAGATTCTGATTGAATTCTACCCTCCTGTCTGAAGAATGTGGTGCTGGCCAAGTGATGTGTCAGTTGGGCAAATACTGATATTGAGCTTCTCCTCCAGGTATTGCATTTCAGAACATTTGAAGGGGCAATATTTTCTTGATCATACAAGAACTTTAATAATCTTTTCTTGAAGGCACTGGAGTTAAATTATAAGAGAGATAAGGATCAGTACTTAATTTCCAGAATGCTCAATCCATCAGTGATATTCTAATGACAGAAGGAAGCATGTGGTCCTGGGGAGGTATCTGAAACAGCTAAGAGCACTTTGCCAGCTCTTGGTACCTTGCAGTTCTGTAGGCAGGGCCATGATCTTGACTGGGCTCCCTACACTATAGCAGTTGGGTTTTCAGGAGAAGAAATGAGCTGGGAGGTTAGTGAGGGGACTTGGTGCCTTCTGTCCACATCTGATGTGGATGATGGAGGGAGAGTCTGCACATTGCATCAGTCTGTTCTTGCTCTATGACACTGCTGCCTCCTAAAATGCTTAGTCTGGATGTCCAATGGAGCTGGAGTAGGAGCAGCTGCAGGCTTTAGGACATTAGAATGTCCTTATCTTTTTGTGCTCATGTTTTTTTATTCTTATGTTTCAACACCTGATGTTTGTGTAATAAAGCCTTTGTTACCTACATATAATTGTCACACTCCAACAAACCAGGTATCTCCATATCATTAAATTATTTTTCTTCATGCTCTGAACATTTAATGTTAGTGTTTCAAATGATAAGACAATATTGTTCAGGTTATTTAAGGATACCTGATGCTGTTTGTCGGACACCTGGTCATTCTGTTTTATAGAAGTATTCACTTTTTATCCTTTTAAGTGCTTTTTAGAATACTTTCTTCATGATAACAAGACAAAGGGAATGTTCTGTGCTTCTTGCTGTATTAACAAGGAAAAGCAGAAAAACAGACAAAACATCCTGCTTGGCCAGATGACTTCAGTGGAGCTGTAGCAGAAAGAATTGATCTATATGTAATGCTATTGGGCCTTTCATTCTTTTATCACTGAAAGAAATACAGATACAAAACACTGGAAGTGGATGTGACTCCTTCATTGCTGTTGTTTCTTTGCTAGGGAATTAGACATGTGGATCACTTTGGGTTCATCTGCAGAGAATCTTCAGAAAATGGAGGCTTCCACTTTGTGTGCTATGTGTTTCAGTGTACAGATGAAGCACTGGTAAGTGAAAGGAAAAAAGAACCAAATAGAACAGTGGGTTATAAAAGTCTTTTACTGCTCCATGATCTGTATTTTGCTGAAGGTTTAAAAATCCTGTTCCACTCAGAAATATAATTATTTCAAAAACGTGACTGACGTAGCAGTCTGCAAAAGAACTTTTCATTTGTTTTGAGGGCAGAAATTAAAATCCCCTTTAAAATGCAGTAAATACTTTATTTATTGTACAAATTGTTAGACCATAGCCTCATTTTTTGGAGAGAGTTTTTTTGTAGTGCACCTGTTCTTAAAATCAGGACTACACTGCTGTGCTCTATGTCAGACCAGTGTATCACAACTGCAAGGAACTTTTTTTAATCCTAGACAAGAAACGGTTTTGAGATAGAGGTAGTATCTTTTTTTTAGACCACACTAATAAAATTGAATGGCCTGGAAGAGATAAGACTTCAAGTTTTGTCTTGTGTGTCTGTGCACAGAAACAGCATAGCAATGGGACAGTATCACTCTAAAAGGCTGCTGTGTTTGTGTTAAGGAAAACTGAAGCTCAGTGGAAGAGTGAAATTGTGTTCTTTTGCACACAATTCTTTTCAGGTTGATGAAATCATGATGACATTGAAACAGGCTTTCACTGTGGCTGCTGTGCAACAAACTTCCAAGGCACAGCCCCAGCTCTGCGAAGGATGTCCTATGCAGAGCTTGCATAAACTTTGTGAAAAGATAGAAGGTAAGGTTTGAAGAACTTTCTGGTTGAGTGTTTTTCCTAACAGTTTTGTTGGGGGCTGGTCTTACATGTGAAGCTCAAGGAAATTAGTGTTTAAAATGAGCTTGTGACTTAGGATAGAAGTGAAAGCCAGTCCTTTTATTTACAGGACTGTAATGTCAAGTTTTCTGTAAGGTCGTAAGAATTTTCTAACAAAAGTTAAGCTGCTTTCTTGTGTTCTAGTCAAATTTTTGAAAACTAATGAAGAGTTTCAATATTAGTGTGTTGCAGCTTGTTTGACTCTATTAGCTGTATAAATTCAGAGGATTGTAAGTAAGGAACCTCTGCAGTAACTGTGACCTGCTGTGCTATTGAATCCACTCAGATACTGACATTGTGCTGCCACTGGACATGAACTGAACAGTGATTTTAATATGTGCTTGTGGTGTTGATCTATGCTCCTTCATGAAATTGCAGCAATTAGAATTGTAGTTGATGCCCAGAATGCAAGTTCAAGACATAAAAATCCCCTTTGCATTTCAGAGAACTTCAGTTAGATTTTGTTCATTTAAGCCATGTCTGGGGTGAATAAAGGGCAACAGCAGCTTGTCAGGTCACATGACAGTAGCTTGTTGGACTAAAACCTATCTAGTATTAATGTGATGAAACTGGAGAACTTCCAAAACTACTTTCACTCTGTTTTGGTTTTCAGCTAGCTATGATTTTTGGGAAGTTCCTTAAAGGCAAATGATTCTTAATCTCAATCATGCCATCTGGTTAATTGTATCTGCTGCTTCTGAAGGAGAAATGCCCTGATCAGAAATTGAAGTACACAATACTGTTGATGGTTTGCTGTCTTTCCACAGAAAGTAGAGGAAAAGAATTTAATCCAGGATGAGAGCAGAAAAAAATAATCTGAATGAGAGGGTAGTCTGCTTTTCAACTGACAGTAAATGTTTTCTGCAAGGGGCAAAACAAGAACTTAACTAACACACAGTAAATTTACTCTTTTTCAGAAGAGGCCAATTCATACAAATTGGAGAAAATAAAAGAGAATTATACCATAACCAAAATTCAAGCACCACTGCATAAACCACCAACAAGGCAAAGCTAAAATGCAGTAGATTGTGGGTTTATTTTGTCTTGTGTGATAATGGAATCTTCAGCTAAGAGTATAATCCTGGTCTGTGCTCAGTAAATCTCCTCGTTGCAGAGTTCATGTCCCTCATTTTAAAGACCATGAGTTCAGCAGTAGCTTTAAATTAACCTAGAGTTTTTTCTAATGCCCTGTTATGAAATCATGTAATGGATCAGCTCAAATAACTGGCAAGCTTTAACTGAAATTATGGGCATATTTGTGTGGTTGATAAACTCTGGCAAAATTGACCATGTAATTTGTTCTTTTTTGTTCCTCGTGGTAGGGTTGCACCCTTCTAAGACTAAACTAGAACTGCAAAAGCATCTAACAACACTAAACAACCAGGAACAGGCCTCTGTTTTTGAAGAGGTTAAGGTAAGCTCCTTGTTTCTTTCAGGATTTTAAAGCAATTCAATTTTTTTGCAAACATCAGTGTGAAACACACAAGTTTTCTTTTTTTTTTTGTGAATTACTCATTATCACCTTGTGGTTTAATTTCAATATAATTTTTCTAGAGCTGTTCAGGAAGGATATTGAGGTGCTGGAGTGGGTGCAGAGAAGAGCAGTGAGGCTGGGGAAGGGTCTCAAGCACAAGTGCCATGAGGAGAGGCTGAGGGAGCTGGGGGTGTTCAGCCTGGAGAAGAGGAGGCTCAGGGGAGACCTTAGCACCCTCTGCAACTCCCTGACAGGAGGTTGGAGTCAGGTGGGGGTTGGGCTCTTCTCCCAGGCAACCAGCAGCAGGACAAGAGGGCACAGACTCAAGCTCTGCCAGGGGAGGGTTAGGCTGGATATCAGGAAGAGATTTTTTCCAGAGAGAGTGCTCAGACATTGGAATGTGCTGCCCAGGGAGGTGGTGGATTCACCATCCCTGGAGGTTTTCAAGCTGAGACTGGATGTGGCACTTAGTGCCATGGGCTAATGACCCCAGGAGGGTTGGACTCAATGATCTTTGAGGTCTCTTCCAACCAGGTTGATTCTATGATTGACATGCTATTGAAGATTAGGAAATTTCAGACTTTTTAAAAAAATAATGTTTTCTTCCTCTCTTAAGTCATTTCAGTCTCTTTGTGTGTTTCCATGTGGCAGTTTATCACTCAGTACCAAATTTGGATGTTACTCTGTGGGACTGATTCCATGAGCTAAGTAACTTCTTAGTGAATAGCACCTAACTGGCACTCTTGTCTTTTAGTATTCTTCATACCTTTATCAGTCTAAAGCTTTCAGTGGTCACAGGAAACTGTTAATTGCTTCTGGTGAGGGTCTGCAAATGATTAACTTGGTAAAAGCAAGGGTAAAGTGCATGTCTCCTGCTCATCTTTTTCAGCTGATTTTTCAGTTGGACTGCTTGTAGTTGTAGTCTTACAAATCTGCATATTGTAACCATGATTTGCATTTTTAGATAACTGTCTTCCTGTAGTATTTTTATTAATCTAATGTGCTGCCTTAGCATTAGCTAATTCACACTGTATCCACTAGGCTTAAACCAGCATATGCTTTTCAAAAGTCATGTTTCTGGGGTTACATTCTTTTAAATTTTTCTCTCATAATAATTCAGACCTGAACAGAATGCAGCAGAGACAGATATGTTCAACTTGTGCACTAATTTTTAAAAAACCTACGTGATTTCCCAAAACTTAAACGTCCCATGAGAAGTATTTCTAGGAGAAGGTTCAGTACTTCATGTGTGCTACAAGCCCAGAACTACAGTGGTTTGGTTTTCTTTACATCGAAAGCACATTGGCAAAAATATGTTTTAAAGCCTTTATTTGCTTGTGGCAATTTGTTACCCCCTACAGTTTTCCTTTGTCTTTCCTGTAAATTACCTGGTTTATGAAGTGAGGTTAAGTGTTTCACTGGCTGTGTTGGTGCTTTTCCTGGGACACTGGTGTCCTCTGGTGGACTGGAGTAGTAGCATGAACCAGACCAGCTCTTCCATGGATGATGTATTGACAGTGACAAAATGAATAGAGTAACTATCTGCTAACTGTTGTACAGATGTATAATCATTGTGCTTGTGGTGTTTTTCAATTAAAGAAATTAAGACCAAGAAATGATCAGAAAGAGAATGAGTTGGTTATCTCTGTTCTGAGAAACATGTATGAAGAAAAACAGAAGGACCATGTTCATGTTGGAGAAGCAAAACAGGTAAGTAATCATTCAGTTTTAGCTTGTGTAAGGAGGAGAAAGGCAAAAATACTTCATTCTATTTTTGGACCTTTCCATCACTGGCATTTTGAAACTTCAGAGTGTAAGCACTGGAAACTTTCAGTTCCAGTTATTTGTCCCTTTTAAAAATCTTGGCTGTCCCTCTGCTGCTGGCTGGTAATTCCTTTGTGGTGACTGCTGTTGGCCATTTGTGATCTAAACTAGCAAATAAATATATGGAGAGGAAATAGACCCATGAAGAAAATAGGGAAGTAGCAGCAAATCTTCATTTACTATTTGTTCACTTTGTTAATCTATTCTTCTTTTATGGCTTATTGGCTAATTATTGACCTCTCTTGAGCAGGAAAACTTTGCATATTTCATTCTTTGATTTATTGTCTTGGGCATCTCACCAGAAATACATTTCTAAGAAAAAAAACATTGTAGTTATGGCACAAGAGGAAGAAACTTTGCCTGAGGTCCTTTGTCATCATACCTGAAATGGTTTTTTTTTGGTCAGTGCCAGCTGATTATCAAATAGTTGTCAGTCACAAACAGCTTGGAAATAGGGATATAAAGGCAAGATAATACCTTAGTATGTCTTCAGTGTGATTTGAAAATACCTAAGGCCTGCTGAAGTCTGTTTGCTCAGTTTCTGGAATGAAAATTGGTTAATTTGACACTTGCAAAGATGCCAGTGCTCTAAGAACAGAGTTGACTTGCTCTCAGTCCGTGATTTGTCTCAGCGAAACATTTTATGTTTACTCTGAAAATGTATCTTCAGAGCTGTGTGATAACAGATACCTTTGAATGTGTACTCTGGCAGTGTTATTTGTCTCAGCAATCATTAATCCATGACACCCTATTGTCACTGTTCCCTTCTTTTCTGCATAGGGATTCACTCTCCTGCTTTTCATCACTTGTTTTGGCTTTTTTTCCTTCCTTGATTTATGTTTTTTAAAAAATGTGTTACTAGTACATGGATCCTATTTAACAAAAACACTTCAAAATGTGTCTTTTCCTAAGAACATAATAGCAAGCAGCATCTCATTTGCCCTTTGAATATAAGATGAGGGAAGGTAAAAAGAAAATACAAAGGCCTGTAACTTTTGTCATGCTGGAAATAGGATGCTTTAAAATGATATCTTCATCAATTTTGATTGATTTCTGGGTTGAAGAAGAAGAAATAAATTAGGGATCACTAATCTGTTACTCTTAAACATTTAGAATTTTACAACTGTACGTTGACATTAAAGAAAATTTCTCAACAGAGCCATAAATTTCTATGAAAATGGCAATTATTCTGAAGCATGTTACTACACACAGCACATTTCTTTAAGAGATTTCCTGGTCTTATGTTAGGATAGTTTATTTGACTTCAGTACAAGTATCAGTAGAGAAAAGGCATGAAAAGCCAAGGACTCAGTACTGGTTCAGGTTACAGAAGCCTTCAGACTGTTGACTGAGATTCTGCTCCATGATGTTGAGTGTTTTGCATTTCTGTTTTTAAACACTTGCAGACCTCCCAGCCACCTGCGGAGAATGCTGTAAACGAGGTGCCCAGCAGTGCTCCGAGGTTCAGATTAGATATGTTAAAGAACAAAGCCAAAAGGTCACTGACAGAATCATTTGAAAGTATTTTATCACGTGTAAGTATCTTTGTGTTTATTGTCTTTGAACAGAATGTCTTTGTTTTATTTATTTGAACGTGTTTATTGTCTTTGAACAGAATGTCTTTGTTTAATTTACTTGAACCATAGAAAAGTCATTTTGTTGTCCTTTCAGGCTGTAGCCCAGACACAGTGACAAAAATATTTTGAGTGTACATGTTACAAGAAGACAAAACAAAGCTAGCCCAGACACAGTGACAAAAATATTTGGGTGTACATGTTACAAGAAGACAAAACGAAGTAGGACTTTGGTAGAGAGAATACCAAGTCCTGGATAAAGTGAGCTAATTCCTGGATAAGTAGTAGTGTTTATAGGCATTTCAAAAATTTAATATGAAGTTGAGCATAAGGACTTGTGAAAAGCGATGATTGTTTTATTTCTGTTTTGGATTTAGAAAATTAAAAACAATAGTTATAATTCCTCACTTTGCTTTGTGTAGAAGGAAATTATTAAGGAACTGACTAAGCATTCCTGATGAGATAGAATTTATTAGTGACACAAAACTGATGAGTAATGGGATATCTGAAGTTTTAAATCCCATAGATTATTTGAAGGTAGGGAATGTTACGAAGTTCAGATGGCACTAAGAATATGAAGGCATTTATGCAATATTACATCAGGTAAAATTTTTTTGAAACAGTGTCTGGAAATTCTGATTAATGGGAAGAACTTGAGCTTCTGTGTCACAGTGATTCCAAAAACATCGTGTTGGCAAAATGCTTATTATGAACAGATCACTGGAATTATCTGCTGGAAGTATACAGCAGCAGTTACAAATAAAATGCTAAGTTTAAGCACTATTCAAATCTACATAGTGTCTTCTCATTCAAACAATCTCTGTTTTGCATCTCATGGAAAAAGTCTGGAGAAAATAATAGGAGACTTTAGAAGATTTCTACTAGACAAAGGATTAAAAATCAGACCTTCTCCCTGGGGGAAAAAAAAAATGTGACAGAATGATGAACAACAGAAATTGGGGAACAGAAATTGGACACTGTCATTTGTAATCAGCAAACAGTTACATTGAAGCAAGATCTAGTACAATTTATTGGCTCATCAACTTGTAGTGACAGAACAAGGTTTTCACAGCTTATTTGAGACGTCATATCTAAGCTGTTCCCATGAAATCAATGGTAATAAAAGCTTGGTCTCCCTGTTAGAATTATACAGAGAAGATTTTTAGCTGAATATCTCCCTTCATTACATCTCAGACAGCATTTCTAGAATTTACCCCATAAACTCCTGCTGCAGGTGTGTTTGGGATATGAAAATATAGTGTTAGTGTCATTACATGAACTGTAGTACTGTACTAATTTTTGCCAGTTTGTCCTGACTGGCCTAAGTTGTCTTCACATAGGCACAGCTGGATATTGATTGCATTTTCACTGTTATTGCTGTTTTGATGGAAATTCTTGATGTTGTTCAGATCTGAAGCCAGAAGTTTTGACTGAGCTTCAGAGAGACAGTAGTAACTGTTGTGAGTAATGATAACATTTTCTATTTTACCTGGAGTAACAGTTCAAAGAGAGTATAAGCCTTAACTTAAGAACATTATAAAATTACACCATTTAAGGTTAGGAAGATTCAAGTTCCATAGTTGTGTTAGCACATAAGAATCCATCAGTAGGTTTCTTGATATTTTC